GGATTTAGCTCAGCGGCAAAAGCGCCTGCCTCGCAAGCACAAGGTCGTGAGTTCGGTTCCCGGTACCGGAGAAAAAAAAAAAAAAAAAAAAAAAAAAAAAGAAGTTAATGGATTCTGCAGGCAATAAGACAAAGAGCTGGTTTTGAAAGATAAAAACAATGACAAAGCTTTATCTAGACTCTCAATGGGAATACAAGAGATAACTGAAATAAAATCAGGAATGAACAATTCGATATTACCACTGATACTAAGTGTCTCATATTAGTAGTTGAATATTCATAAAGTCTCATTATACTCAGTATTACATTATGAAAAATATATATATCAAAAACTGGAAATGAAAAGAAATGAGTAAATTTTTGGACACACACAACTTTTTAAAATTGAAGAGTGAAGAAACATAAACTTTGAATGATTCAAAAAGTAGCAATGAGATTGAATCAGTAATAAAAGTTTTCCATGAAAGAAAAGCCTAGGACCTGAAGGATCCATTGCTGAATACTGAACAACACTTAGCAAAGAATTAGTATCAACTCTTTACAAATTATTACACAAAAATGAAGATGAAAGAATTCTTCTGAATTCATTGAAAAAGCTAGCATCACTCTGTTATAAAACAATAAAATGATGAAACAATAAAAGAAATATTACAAGTCAATATTAATGATGAACATAAAGGCAAAATCCTCAGCAAACTGAATTCTTCAGCATATTAAAACAGCCATTAATCATGGCTTAGTGCAATTCATTCCAGAGATACAATGATGGTATGCAAATCAACATAGATATATGCAAATCAACATTGATATACCACATTAATGAAATTGAGAAATGATTTGATAAAATTAAGTACTTCTTCATAATAACAACTCAAAAAGCTAGGCATAGAAGAAATGTACTTCAAGACACTAATGAGTTTTTCAAAGATGTGAAGATAAGAGTAAACAGTTGTATCAGTTTATTCACACAGCATTGGTGGTCCTGACTATAGTAATTATGTAAAAGAATGAAACAAAAGCATATCAACATCTGAAAATGAAACCAAGTTGTCCCTTTTGTAGAAGGCATGATCTTATATGAAAATAACTCTAAATATTCAATCAAAGAACAGTGAAAAGTTGCAGGATGCAATATCAACATATCAAAACCTGTAGAGACTTTTATATGATAGAAGTACTATCTAAAAAAGTTAAAGAAACAATCCCAATGACAATAGCTACAAAAGATACTTAGCAATATATTTAATGAAGGACATGAAGAATCTTTACAATGAAAATCATAAAATACATAAAAATTAAAAAATCCACAAATAGGAAAATATTATGTGGTTATGGATTGAAAGAATTAATATTGTTACAATTTCCATAATAGCATAATGGAATAGTATAATAGTACAATTCCAAAATAGTATAATGATGTAATCCTTTTTAAATAACTGGAACATTGTTCCACAGAATCACCAAAAGCTCTTAGTACCCAAAGCCATTTGAGGAAAAAGAACAAAGCTGACGGCATTGAATGTTATGATTTCCAAATACACTATAGAGGTTTAGTAAAGAAAACAGCATGGTATTGGCATAAGCAACAGACACAAAAATCTGAATAAAGAAGACAGAAACAAATCTACAAAGTTAGAGCCAACTGATCTTTAACAGATTCATCAAGAATGTAAATTAGAGAAAGAAAAGTCTTTCCAATAAATGGTGCTGTGAAACCTGGGTATTCTTATGCAGAAAAATGAAATGAGTTTGTCATTCTTCACCACATACAGATCAACACCAAATGAATTAAAGATCAAAGACATAAATATAACACTTGAAATACTAAAGTATAAGAATAAATCAGAGTGAAGATGCTTCATTGTATTTTTAGCGATAAGGAGTTATTGCACCAGAACTCAAAAGCACAGGCAACAAGAGAAAAAAATGGACAAATGTAGTTACATGAAATTAAAGTTGCTTCACAACCAAGGAAACAACAAAATTACAGAACAAGCTACAATTGAGACAATATTTGTTTTCTTTCAATCTGACAAAGGTCAAACATGAAGTACAAAAGGAACTCAAACAACTACCAAAAAGAAAAAAAAAAAGAAAGAAAGAAAGAAAGAAAGAAAGAAAGAAAGAAAGAAAGAAAGAAAGAAAGAAAAAGAGAAAATTGGCAAAAACATGAAGACGTAGCTGTCCAAAGAGGACTCATATGGTTGGTAAAGAGGCACATAAAACATTAATCATTAGAGAAGTTCAACTGGCTATTATTTAAGAAGCATAAAAATAGCAAATGTCGGCATGTTAAGAAACTGTAAAAAAGGAACTATTTTTTACCCTTTTGAGGAATGTAAATTAGCACAGCCATTACGGAAAACATTATGGAGGTTCCAAAATTAACTAAAAATTGAACTGCTACATGATCTAAAAGTGTCACATAGGTATTTATCCAAAGGACAAAAAGTCATTGTGTCAAAGAAAAATCTGGAACCCCTGTTTACTGCAGTTGATTGTTTACAAAAACCAAAATGTGGAATCAGTTTTAGTTTCCAACAATGAATGAATAGATAATATATGGCACATACATCACAATACAATTCTATAAGCCCACAGAACTGGTGACAACCTTGCATTTGTAGCAACATAGATTCCCTGGAGGACGCTGTGCTAAAAGAAATAAACCACACTTAGAGAAGCAAACATTGTTCTATCTCTCTCATTACTGAAATTAAATAAAAAACAAACCTAATTTTATAGAAGTGCAGAGCTGTGGAAGATGGGAGGGAGAGAAAATTGGAGAATCAGTCAATGAGTATAAAATCACATTTCCATAGAAGGAAAAAGTTATTCCACTGCACTGCAGGATATCTTTAACAGTATTTTATTGTATATTTAAAAATGATTATGAGAAAATTTCTGTATGTATTATACACAAAGAAATGATAACTTTGAGGTGATAGATATATAAATATATCTGCCTTGATCATTGCACATGTTTACACTTTCATAGGAAACATCAAATATGTGCCCCATAAATATTATCAATTATTTTGTGTCAGTTAAAAACAGTAGTGATGTCTTATTGCTGGACCACTTGGAAAATTGAGAATGGAGTAGAATATAATAGATTCAAAAATAAGTTGAGGTCAGTAAAGGATTTCTATGAAGAGATATGAAAGCATTTTCTTTATTGAGACAGAAGAAAAAATAGCTCCACACTGAGGACAGGGATTCACATGTTTTAATAAACATAAAGTTCATTTAGGTTTATGATACTATATTAGGTAAGTTCAGTTAGATTTTCTATATTGTAATCAGAGTCACACACTTTTGTACTATGCCCTCATGAAAATTCTGAAATTTAGATAAGAATTGCATATCAGAATACTAAAATTTATAAAGGTTAAGACATTTGCTTAGGTTCACATGGCCATTAATTAGAAAAGATAGGCCAAGAATTTAGGTACATAATTCTCTAATCAATTCTTTAAGGTTATTGCCTCAGCATAAATTGCGTCTCATCAAATCCAAACCCACTGTCAATGATGCTTAAACATTGAACTGTCCTATGACAGTACCATTCAAATTAGCATCTCCATAATGAGGTTGAGGTCTTGTACCTGAATGTAAATCAGTGCAAAGCTCTGTTCTTTCAGAAATTAACACACACACACATACACACATAGACATGTGCACACATCAGTGTGCACAACTTCAATTGAATTAAACACTTTGACCAAATAGATTAGAAGTTAGCAATCTGTAGTCTATGGGTTGGTAATCAGCTTTTGTAGCTAAAGCTTTGCCAGCATGCTGCCATTCCTGTTCTTTTATATACTCAATCTCTTTTCTCTGGCAAACTAAGACACTATAGTCACGACAGAGACCACACGGTCCATGAAATTCCCAATATTTACTGTTTAACCTTTGCAGAAGATATTTGTCTCATATCTCAGACCTCCCTAAATGCAGCAGAAGAGTGGAAAATTGGGGGATCATGGTGCATCCCCAGCAGGTACTAGGCGTGTAGCGCGCTCAAGGTTTTCTACAGTACATATCAAGCCTGATTTAACTCTTCAGAACCCTGGGCCTTCTCACTCCCCAAAAACTGCTGTTCCTCATAGGAGAAGTGGGGAACTCTGGCACTGGTCCATTCTTCAGACCCTCCCAGTCAGGATTCTCCAGGGACAGGGAAAAGACTCGCTAATATTGCGTTTGGAACCCAGAGAGATAAGCAAGTAGGATTGGCCTGACGGTGAAAGGAATCCTATTTTCCTATCTTCCGAGTTTTGAAGTTTGCGTTAGGGACCCAAACACAGATGAACATTTCATTCTTTCCTTATTTTATACTCAAGCAAGCAACCAGTTTCGTTTTAGATTCAAAAAATAACAATTTAAAAAATGACATAGTAGCATATGAAAATCACTCAATTACTATTCAGTTAAGAACTAGGAGAACATGCATTATTGTCTGTGTAGAATAAAGCACATTCTTTAGAAAAATGCAGTCACATGGTATTTGAGACCAATGCATTAAAAAAAAACTGACTAAAGAACTAATCATTTTCATATTTTTAGTTCTTACTTTTCAATATAAAAAAGTTTTAAAGGTTTTCTTTGATGTATACAGATGTAAGCAACTTTATTCTTAAGAAAATTAAATTTACTTTTGAAGTGTTTGAATATTTTATAGGATCATCACCATATTAAAAATTAATTTGTGGGTTAATACTTAAAAAAGATAAAGTTTATAAACGTTCATCTATCTCTATGACAGCAAATGCACTTGGAAGTTTCCAAAATATTATCCACACTATATTTTTTCTTGCACTGAGCAGATAGTCATTTAATTCATCTCCACTCTTTCCTCTTTTCTCTGTTGGATCACCCATACGTTCAAACACAGCTGTTTTGAAATTCCTTCGCATACATATTTTAGGACAGTATAAAACATACATTTTCAGTTGCACCATTGTATAAATCTATACTGTAGAAAAATTTCAATCAACTTACATATCTCTGGGAGCCATCATATTCACACCTTTCAATTTTTCCTAAGCTGCCATCTGAGAAATACAGCTTCTCTGCACGGTGGTCAATGGTGAGTCCATTTGGAGTAAGGATGTCTGTGCTTAACACCACTTGAGCATTTTGCCCAGTCAAGGTAGATCTCATAATGCTTGGGTGCTGTTCATTCCAGTTGGTCCAAAACATCAAACTAAATAAAACAATTGTAATAAGACATTAAAATTTCCATTGAAAGTAAAAGCATTAGGATAAACATGGCAATATCTATTATTAAAAGTAAGCTAAATTATTTGATTCACACCCTATGATCCTTAAGGAAGCTTAGATGCTAAGGGGAGATAGAAATATATTTGCAAACAGATTTTTCCTATGTTCTTAAACTTGGAACCTATTGCAAAACACAGTTATCCTGTGCATTCCTTTAAATAAGAGTAATGTTAAACGGAGTCATTTTGATGCATATCTAGCATTCATTTTAAAGAGGAACAAAATAACAATCTTAAATTTTTTATGAACTGCAAACATAGCCTGACATCTTGATATTAAATTTTAGCAGATCCAACATCATCTTTTGGACATAGTTTTGTTAACTATATATTTGTCTACTACAGTTGATGAAGATAATCATCTTCTATTCTAGTTTTGCTTTTTAAATTCTACATTCTCCATTGTGAAAGTTTTTTTAAAAAATAAAAATTACCAAAACCCCATAATTCTGTAACTTCTTTTTTCTCTTGGATGATTTTTGTTATAAATTATGATGTTTCCAGAATTTAGGGGTGACTTTCAAATTCTGCGTCATAATTACTACTTTCACAGGTGTTGCAGAATGATTTTATCTATCAGTGTTTGTCAAATTTTACATTGTGGAAACCCTATGATTCTTCAGAAAGCTCTTAGAAGTCACTGGAAGTGTACAAAGACTGTCAGGGTCCTGCCTCCAAGACATATTTTAACTGAAACATCTCCACTCTTTCCTCTTTTCTCTGTTGGGTTACCCATATGAGTTTATTTGAAAATAGATTTTTGCATCTTAGCAAAGTAAAAAGAGAGAGAGAAAGCAGGGAGTGAGGCTGGTAACTGGGTTCTTTAAATCTCTGGAAGAAATATGCTTATACATAGTGACAGAGACATAATATCTCATATCTACAGCAAGATTGCATATGCCATTCTTATCTACAGCATTTAAAGGCAATTTAGGATTCCATTTAAGCAAATTACTTAATATGCATTTTTGAGTATTTTGTAAAAATATTCCTAGATAACTTTCAAATTTACAATAAAAAACCTTTCTGCTTGATAATTTAAAAATAATCCACATCCTGGCTTTCACTCTAAAATCAGGAATGTAACAAGGATATCCACTATCACCACTTCTAGCTGGTACAGTTCTGGAAACATTACCCAGAGTAATTAGAAAAGAGAAAGAAATAAATTGAAGAAGGTTAGGAAAGGAAGAGTTTAAATTATCATAATTTGCTGATGAGATGACTTTCTACATAGAAGACAGCAAAAGCTCCACTGAAAGTCTTCTAGATTTAATGACGAAAGTCAGTTCAGTAGCATAGCTGCTTACAAAGTCAACACTCAAAAATCAATAGCTTTTCTGTACACAAGCGACAAACTTACAGAGAGAGAACCTAAGGACACCACACCCTAATTCAAAGACTCAATACAAAAATGGGCATCAGAGATGAACATGCACTTCTCAGATGAAGAAATAGAAATGGCAAATAAATATACTAAAATATGTTCAACATTATGAGTCAGTCAAGAGATGCACATTGAAACAGCACTGAGATTCCATCTCACCCAGTGAGCACGGCTATCATCAAGAAATCAACCAATAACAATTACTGTTTTTAAATCTTAGAAGCAATCCAAATCTTTTAAAAAAGACTTTAAAGTTTCCTACATGGCCAAATGTTAAAAATATCCTGTCTTAAGAATACATTATATATTTGAAAATATAAAAATTAATTCTACATTTCAAAAGATAAAAATCAATTATACATTTGAAAAAATAAAATGGCATTCATTCCATTTTCCTTAATTGTTAGGAATTTCACTTATACTTTGTGACTTTACAAATGACATACTTAGTTAATTAAAATAATTGAAAAGTTATGCCCATAAGATGAGCGATTTAACTCAAAGTTTCTCTGTGATATTTGCTGGCGGTGTTGGCTTCAGAATTAGCGAATTTTGGAGATATTAGTGTTCCTTTGATTTCACCTGTTCATTTCCCAGACAGGAATCAAAGTGGCCTAGAGAACCTGAGTAATTAAAGTTTATACAAATAGCTAGGATCACAACCAAGTTTTAGACTTAAGGAGAATAACTTCTATTTATAACTTTATTCTAAAATTTCCATATACTAACAGAACAGTGAGGGCCATTGACATACGTGAGGGAAAACTGCTTTTAGTACTTTAAACCTTAACTAAAAATGTTCTAGTTAGACTATTTTTGATCTGTTTAATTTACAGCTTATTGTGTATAAGGTGATTTTAGTTATCCATACTTATAATGCCCTCTTTAAAAAATTAAAATTTTATGAGTGATGAAGCATGAGTTTCAAAGGAAACCATTCTTTTTCATATTTATTTTTAAAGGTAATACAGCTCTGAGAGTCTTCTGACTTATAATTAGAATGTATCATTCAAAAATCATTGTTTCTTACTTTTGGCATTCATCCAAAGCTAGCACATGGGGGTGGTCGTCCTCTGACATAGTGATGACTGCTTCCATATCAAATGCTCCAGGCCGGGTCTGGTCCACCGTGTGTCTGGTTATGGACGAGGTCGTGGAGCTGGTCCAGTACAGGGTATCCCAGGCTCGGTGATAGGCCAGTCCTTCCACAGAGCCCACATCTGATGTGGAAAAAAATATATATAAAATTTACAATTGTGTTTACAAAAACATGGTTTATGGACAGAAATAAAGCAATTAATTTCTATACACATACCTGTTTCTTTATCAACTATTTCTCCATGGGTCCCAAAATAAGAAAAACATTGTAATGCTTACTATTGATGGCAGATTACACACAACAAAATATAGCTCTGGACTTCTACATGTGCATATATTTATATGATATATAAGTAGGTAATCATATAAACCACATAATACACTAAAAATATCTATTTTTTATTACTGGAAGTTGTTTTACAGAAACATGGTGTACAAAACACAATTTTCTCATCCAAAAAACCACAATCAAGTAATTGCCTTGTATGTAGGAAACTGGGAAGTTTTATCTCTTTTTAATATCATAATAATTAATTTTCAAAAAGTATTGCATGCAACAATTTAGAAACGCTTTTGAAAATCATGTCAGATCAATACCATTTAGTCACATTCATTAGTTTTCTACGGCACCGTAGAAGTGGAGATGTCAAGGAAAAGCAAATACCGCAGAGTTATAGCGATAGTGTCGAGAGGCCAGCTCAAAGGCTGTACTTTCAACTATTAAATGATGGCAGAATTATGTTTTAGTAAGTGGATATGGCAAGTTCCTTGATTCAGTTCTACTAATGCAATATTAAAAAAATAAAAGATTAATTATCCATGAAAGTATGCTTTAAATGTAGTCAGAAAAAGAGGAACAGAAGTACACAAATGCTAACACACAAAAGTGACAGGGTGAAAAGCAAGAGTAGTTATTTCTTAAAATTGTGTTTCCAGTCACCATGATTATGTAGGGTAGATATACTATTTTTCAAACTCATGCTTTGAGTATAGTTTTAGAATAACCAAATTATTACAGCTTTTTCGTGTTACCTATTTTCCTCAATTATTATTCTAACAGGCTTAATTTAACAAAGAATACATATACTTTGTGTGGTCATGTTAAGAAGTTTATAATAGAAAGAATTGTCTATTGTTTTTCCCTTTAAGGAACTTCTAAAAGGAATTACACAGTTCATAAAAATAAGTAGATGAAAGAGCTGTTTCCAGGAATTAAGGTATGTAAATATTTAATTGATGTGTCAACAGAACTGTATTGTTGTTCAAAACAAAAATTAAAACTTTTGAACCAAGTGTCCCTCGTATGATTGTCTTTTTGTCACTTGTTTCTTTTTCTGTAAGCAACATATCATATCAAAACTAATGTACTTAATAGCTGCTACTTCATGAGTACTATGTGCTAAAAGCTGCGAACTGTTCTGCTTTTAACATTTTACTGTCTGGGTAAATCTATTCTGAAATGTTTTTAATTGTTCCTCTTTTGCAGAGAAGGAAAGTGAAACCTGTAGTCACAGGCTGATGATATTGATGCTACATTTTACTCCAGGTTTATCTGCTTCCCAAAACCACGTCCTTAACAGCACCACTCTAGAGAGAGGTCTATAATACCTATTACTTGTTTTCCAGCTTTGCCTAATTGGAACTAACGGAGTAGTCCACCAGCTTCAACTCATCTGGTTCTAGGAAAACTGTATAACAAGGTAATGTGCCATGAGCAGCCTCCTCCCACTCAATAAATAAGCAGTTTTCAAGGAATTAATGGAGGTGGTTGGTATGGAAACCGAGGCCAGTGAAGATAGAAGAACCATTATAAAACACGATCATAATAAAACCAGCTAAGCTGATTTTATTTGACTTATCTGTTGCTGTTTTTTGGAGTGAGTGGGTGAGAAACTGATAATGGCTGAAAGTATTTCACTTATTAATTTAAGAAATCATCCATCCAATTGTTTTTTTGTACTTTCAAAATATTTAAAATTACAACAACTCCCTTGGTAGTATTTTCAGCATTACACTCCGTTGATCACAAGTAGAATGAGAAATAGCACAGCTCTGACAAAATCCAAGTGAATAAGAATATTTGATCCATCCACATTCTGTAACATCCTTTCCAGTGCCTTTGTAACAGAAAATGCCTCTCCCCTCTAGCCAGTACACTTCAGTTTGTCAGTTGCCCTGGTAATAGCTCCTGTTCCACTTCTGGTTGCTCCTGTCTCTCCGAAACAGCTGGTTACACTGATGCATAGCTGGCCAGTATGGTGCACACTCTGTATAAACCAATCCCCAATTGACAAGCCACTCTGTATTTCCTGCTTATTTTTCCAGTATAAGTCCTAGACCAGCAGAAATTGGGGCCTGATACTCTGGGAATGATCCTGATCAGTGCCCATCGATGTCAATAAAACTGCCTCCAAATCCTGGGTGTCATTTCGCTGTTTCTCCCTGCCCCTGCAACTTGACAGTTATTCTTCTTGGCTACTTTTACACGTCGTTCAAGAAGCTGCACTGGATATCACAATAACAGATGCTCCTTTTCTATGACTGACGTAACTCCAGAGCTACTATAGTTGACAATGCAGCTCACTTCCAGGTACAATCTCTTTTATTTTACCTTTATAATCAAGTGGAATCTGAAAGTACATTTAGTCATAAGCAGGTGCTACATTTCAAAGCATTTCAGTAATCTCTTGATCAAAAGTATTTAATACCTTATAAAATTGTAATTTTATTAACAATAAAATCTAAGACATATAGAAAACATCAAAATCACAAAAACTATTTTGGTTGAGAAAGGCTAAGACATCTTTATTTTTCTATGATTTAACAGCAAGATTGGGTCATATTTGTACTTGTGTTTGAGTGTGTGAACATACGTGAATAATCATCTCTGCACACCTGCCTGGATCTATGTGTCTTTGAACAATCACATTCCTGAGTCAGATGAACAATCACAATAAAAAAATTGATTTACTAAAAGTGGATAATTAAAACAAAATATCTATCTATGTAATCAACCAAACTTGCAACATTTAGCAGAGTGGATCAATACAGAGTTAAACATCTTTGGAACTCAAGAATGTAGAATAGCATCATTAAGAAAACAACTAGAACAATCCTATTTCAGCAGACCCATATTTTTTACCTCAGCAGATGAATTATATTGGAAACACGATGTAAAACAAGTAAAAACACCACCTCCTCTCACTGTGGACTTAACAAAAGTACATAAATATTCCTTTCATTCTCACCCTCTTTGAAAAGAAAATTTGGCTAAACAATAAGTGTGGTTCTATATGGTTTTATTAAGGTAAGAAAGAGAGATCAAAGGGTCAGAAAAATACACCTCCAGGTAATTAGAAAATGGCTGTACTACACCTATCACATTCTAGATCCAAGATAATGGTGCAGAAATTGTTTCTAATAGCAGAGCAGGGAGTAACCAACTGCTGCTGTAGTAGTTACCCAAATAACCTCACCGAAAGCACAACCTCATTTCTCATCTCCTCACCATTGAAGAGGAGACAACACCCCTTCCTGCGTTAACCTTTTTTCTAAAGGCAGGGAGAGATCTCGCCAGATGAGAAAGGCAGTAAGGGTGTTCTTGGTAGTGAATGAGAGTGCAAAGTTTCACTACATGCTGGGCTGAGCTAATAGCATGGCGAAAGCCAGGTGGAAAGTTAATGAGAACTAACATTTATCTCAAGAATGTACTACAACTGAGAGGACTTAAAGGACAGAAGGTAGATATGATCACAGTACTTTATACATGTATTAATTGTCAAAATGAAACTCATTAAATTATAACTAGTATTCCCTGATAATAATACTAGAAAGAAAAACACCATACTCTAAAAGGATACAGTTGATTATGCACTAACTTCTTACTCACTAGCTTGTTCTCAAAAACAGCAAAGTATCAGAGTTCACAGTTGGAAAGTGTTTCACTAGAATGGAGCCTATTAATCTGGTTTGAAAGGTATAAATCACTTTGACACAGAAAAATAGTTTTGATGTCCAGTCCAGGTATAAAGCTTAAAATGAGAAGTTTGTAGACACAACAGTTCACAGGTGTCTTAACTTTGTGGTTTCCAAAGAAACCAGATATTGAGGCCATTTCACAATCCAGACCTGTTGCTTCTGTTGAACTGTTTACATGTAGTTATTTTAAGCCTAACAAAATGATTACTTAAATTTGGCCCCACCTCTGACTCTCTGTAAAATTTTCAAGTAGTCTGACATCCCTCCTTCTCTCCCTCAGACCCTCCCTTCCCTCTTTTCTTCAGCTATAGCTTTTGTCTAGATGTCCTCCCAAAGCCACATGTGCTCTTAGGTGGGGTTCTGGGAGGTGAGTGGATTGTGGATGTGTGACACTACATTAGTCCACGGAAACACATATAGCAGGTGTAATGATGGGAGGTGAAGCCTGCTGGGAAGAGGTGGGTCACTGTGGGCGTGCCCTGGAAGGGGATATACACCTGTCTCGATTGTGCTGCCTCCAGCCTGCTGCACTATGAAATTTTTCTCCGGTCATGCCCCTCTGCCATGCTGGGCTGCCTTGGAGCCAGCAGACTATGAACTGAAAACTCTGTAAACTATGAGCTAAAGGAAACATTTTCTCCCTTAATTTGTGGGTGTTAGACATTTTGTTCCAGCAATGAGAAAGTAACTCAGATACCTGCCTTTCTATCTTCTAATCCACAGGGGTTCTTTTGTGGATAGTTTGTCTCATTGCAATGCATCAGTAACCAGTCCTGGATAAACTACCAGTTTATTTGATAAAATTCAATAGTGTTTGACTTAAAAATGCTTGAGATGAAGAAAACTTCCTAAACCTAATGAAGAGAATCTAAAAACCTAGGCCCATATCATATTTAATGATGGAAAAAATAACTATTTTACCTCAGGGAAAACAGAAAGAAGACAAGGATGTATACTCTTATTTTCTATTCAGTGCTGTATGGGAGATTCTACCTAGGTTAGATAGATAGATAGGTATAGGATAGATAGGTAGGGAAAGAGGCAGAGAGAAAACCTAGATTGCAAATGATGAGAAACTGTATTTTTGCAGATGACAAGTTCTTGAATATACAAAATCATAAATAATTCACTAAGAAATTATTAG